GTAGATTTAAAGGAATTTCTTGTGCTTATTTCAGTTCATTTTAATATGGCGAGTACATCAAGAATAATAAAAACAACTCAGTTATCGAATTGTCAAGCAAAATATATTAGGTAATACTTCGTTACGTTTCCGCTTGTTTGTCAATTTCCAGTAGAAATTATTTCCGAGGAACTTCAGCGATACAAGTCCTTTCTTGATTAAACCAGTTTATTCTTTCTCGATACGACTTTTAGTAATATACAGAATTTCCACAGTCACTTTAAACTGAACAACCTTTATAACGCACGCTATAAATCACAGTGATTCACACATTTTACTTACTGTGCCTACTGTTCGCTTGACTCAATTATCTATCTTTTCAATCTATATCTCTGCAATCGCGCTGGTTTTTCTCGCCAGGCTTATATACAAAAAATGAGGGCGCCTCGAACAGTCTCGGGCCTCCCCGATAATTCATGATCCTTCCAGAAACTCCAGCGCGCATGCTCCCAGCGTCACGCGACCTCCGCTGTGGTAACAACTTCATCAAAAAGAAATACAAAGACACTTAATAATAAAAGGGAAGAAGCTACTTTAGGCGGTACTAACTATATCATTTATTATGTGATCTGATTAATTTTTGGGACTACTTTAAGCGGTGCTAATTATAGAAAGACGAATGCTGTATCACCTGTTATTGGGGGTTAGTTTAGGTAGTGCTAACCATAACAGGTCTTATTTCGTCTTATTAATCTTTAGGGCTTCTTTAGGCGGTGCTAACTATTGCAAGCTCAATGTCATCTTATTAATTTTGCCGAAAGGGAGCCGAAGGCCATTTTTAGGGGCCACCTGTTTTAACTACTCGCACCACCATCCAGCAGTGTGTTGTCTGTCAGTCAGTCGACATTTAAAATGACGTCACATAAAGGATGCTTAACGTTGCAGTTTGTACTGTCGTGACGTCAGTAAAACGTGCGGATGTCATGAATTATGCACTTTGTAGGCAACAACACAGCATGACATATGAACTTCAAAAGCAAGAAATAAAAATAGTTGTTACTCTTACTTAATTTTGGATTTATTTACTCTTGAAACGGAACACTTTCGAAGACCCTCAGGAAATACATCTAGTGTTTAGGGCTATTTTACACGGTGTATAGTTTAAATACTTGTTACTCTTCTACTACTTATTGTCTAATTACCGCTGATAACGTTCAAAAACAAGAAACAGGACCGTACCAAGGGTGGTGCGAGCGGTAAGCCTGTAAAAATTGCCGACACCTAGGGGACGCGAGTTTGTATCTTTGAAGGCAATGATAGATTATTATTATTTATTTTTTTTAAGGAATGGCGCAGAAGTCATATCTTGCCCAGGGCGCCACCAACGATCGATATGGCTTTGATAAAAAAACAACAAAGTACAAAAGCAAACTAAAAACTAGCATCTCACTAATTCAGTATACAATTGAACAAGAAATCTATTTTTCTTTTAATATAAAGTTATAATACCAAATTACAGTCGCACGAGACGTCATAAATAAAATCTTACCCTCTAACATAAGGCTTGCACATATGTTGATCCTTGTCCCAGCCACAATTCGGATCTCGAACACACTGAAGACAGTTTGGATAACGGCTTCTACACATCACTAAACTGACTTGTCGAATTGCAGAGTCAGAGGCCACGTATATTGACTTGTACTAGAACAATAATATATTATATTAATAGAATTAATAAACAACAACAATTTAATAGCTTATGTAATATTGTTTTTAATTGTAGAGGAGCGATGTTTAAAGCCATCGTGGCTAACATGGTGAGAGTTAAAACTTTGGGTCAGGGCTAATTACTTCTTGTGTTCAATCTATTAAAATATGACAAAACCTGACCATAAACTATGTCACAAACTTGTTAGTCCTATCAATGCATAATTAAATAATTTCATATCGTTGATACATCAAGGGTGTTTTAAATAATATAAATTTATATAAATTCGAGTTGGTCGAATATAAACTACTTTACTGATATTAATGATTATTCCTAATTTTAGTTCTCCTCTTTTTTTTTAATACTTAACCCTAGAATTAAATATTGTAACTAATTATTTTGGGGTTATAGAATATGAAAGATATGACCCAATGTTTTGGTCATTTTTTTAAAATGAATGTTGTGAAAGACAAAAACAAAATACTCAATACACTGCATTACGTGAACCCAATGATATTAAACAGAATGTAAACAAGTCGATCATTTGAGGGTTAAATATTCTACACGTTGTTCCAGCCTTTATCACTGTTTATCGTATCAATAAACATACTATTCTACTATTGTTCCATTAGAATGAATAGCAGCTCTGTGAATATGGGTTATTTATTTTTGTTTGTTAACTAGTAGTCAAAATATTTTAAACACAGAAACCGGTGCTTCATGGTTGACAAGTCTGAACACGCTTGTCATGATGGGAAACTGTATATCAAAACTATATATATTGTTACGTCTCTGTTCGTTTGTTTATCTCCCGTAAAAATCCTTTCCGAGAAACTTCAGCAATACAAGCCCTTTCTTAATTAAAACTAGTTGATTCTTTCTCGTTACAAACTTTGTAATACACTTAATTTCTATAGTTACTTTAAACTTAACTACTTTTGTAAACACACACTATAATTCACACACTTTATTTACGATGCCTACTGCTCGCTTGACTCGATTATCTCTATCTTCAATCCCTCTATCTATCCGCAATTATATCTCCGCTTTATTTGCCGGGCTTATATACAAAAAAAGAGGACGCCTAGAACAGACTAGAGTTGCCAGGAAAAGTCAATATCCTTCGAGAATCTCATGACGTGTTACCAGGGTCACGTGACTTCTGCTGTCGTAACAATATTGTAAAAGGAAATAATACTTTCAAGCGGTATAATGATGTAGAGTTTGCCCTTAATGAAATAAAATGTCCTAAAATGTACTCCTTTACCTCTTGTTCCACTGTTTTTACCTAGTTTAGACCAAAAGAAGCAAGTAATAATAAACTACAGGAACATGAATTATTTGTAGAATTTTTATACGTGGTTTTCTTTTTGCTGATGCCTCCATTTGCTCAGGAGATTTGTAGTCCTTTTCTGTTTATTTTCCGACGATAACAAGCAACTATCTTGTTCAAATGGGATATCTTAAATGTTTTGTTAGGACACAAAACCAAAATACCTTTTTTTCCGTTGGAAAAAAAAAGAAGTTAAAGCTAATGGTTTTTATCTCTGCAATTTTAGAAATAATAACCTCTCAAAAAGCTACTTAGTGGTTTAAACAACTCCACTTTATACCCCTCCTATTGGCGCTTAACATCGACTGCAGTAAAAAACGTTAATTTCAGGGTTAATGACTGGTTGTTTGGCATAAGTAACACCAGAAATCCATTTAGCTTTCGTTTGAAAAGGGACACCGACAAATATGTTAATACGAATAGTTCCATATTATTTCCTGCTAAGCTATTTTTGTCTAATACTCATTAAATGACTCACTACAACAGTTGCTATAGAAACTAGGAAAACATTTTCAGTAGCTCAATCAACACGATATTGATCAAAACTTATGGTTTCTGACTGTACATTTGAAAGATATGGCTCACCGAATTAAACTATTTCTTCTAAAACTGACTCCTCTTTTGTCTTTTATACCGGATTTTTTGTTTGTTTGAAGTCCCATTTAATGGCCTATTTGTTTGTTTTTGTATAAACGCAAAGTTACACAATGAGCTATGGACTCTATATCCACAGTGGGATATCGAACTCAGAATTTTAGTGTTACAACCCCTCAAGCTTACCGTTGTGCCACTGGTTGGCTCTATAAAATGGATAATATTTATAGAAGAAAATCTATTTATTTTTGTATATTTCTTCAAACGTTTCGCTCTTCTAACACAAAGTTTCTTTGTGCAGTATAAATTAAAACACTATGTATTACGGTAGAAGCTTGAAACACATTTTACAAAATAAATGAAAAAGAAATATGGTTATTGAAGGAATAATGCGTGAAATTTGGTAAACATAGGTTTTCAAAAATAGGTAAAATTGATTTCTAGTTACGCGGAATGTGGACATGAAGAAAATGTAATTTTGATAACTAAAGTTTTTATGCACACATTTTAAAGTATGCGAATACGAACTTACGAAATTATTGAGCGGTTGGCTCTTGATGCGCTATATGAAAGTTTAAATTTAATTCCATACAAATGTCATGTTGCCACAGCAACGAAACTATAATTACGTTAAACTATTAGGAAGATTAAATTTTGAAATATATTACGAGTACACAAGTTTTTTTTTCAGTAACAAGAAACAATCATCTTTGATAATATTCAGGGGTTATTGTTATAAGGCGGTACGTCGTTAGATGTAAATATTGTTATCCAACTACCATGGGATAAACTCGTGCTTCGCGTATGATGTATGCAATAAAATTATTTGACAACTGAAACATTGTTTAGGGGGGGGGGAGATGTAGAAGGAATTGAATCCTCGACCCTTCCGCATACGAAGATTGTGCTGTGTCACATGAGCCAAAGCCCATATATTTTTTTTCTCACATATGCAGCATTACCGAGTAGAATACTATATGTATGTGAAGGATATAAATAAATCCTTTAAATAATGTTGTACTATATAGTTGGACTTGAATTAAACAAAAACCTACTAAGTAGAACATGGAATAGAACATGTATTTAGGTTTTAAAGTAAATAAATGTAAAAACATGGAACGATTATAAACGAAATATATCTCTGTACACAACGTTTTTTATATAATCATCTTGTCTTTGTGGGTAATCGCCATTTTTTATTAGGATCTTGAGATTTTTTCTGGATACAGCAACGTTGTAGAATAATAAATCTTTAAAAATATCGTATTAAGAAATGTAAAAATCACCTGTCTTCGTTTGTCGCTATTTCACTTATTTTTCTTTTTCCTTCCATAACGGTATAGACTTTTTTCTCTTCGTTTTACACGCCCCCCAGTGGCACAGCGGCATATTTGCGGACTTACAACGCTAGAATCCGAGTTTCGATACCCGTGGTGGGCAGAGCACAGATAGCCCATTATGTAGCTTTGTGCTTAACTTCAAACAAACAAACAATCTTTTTACACTTCCCTAAAATATTAATAAACCCTCGGTTTCTAACGTCAGCAGAGACACGGTTCGGCGACCATATTGACCTAGTTTATTTTGACGAGTAAACGTCACGTGGCTTTTGACGAGGTATGGTGAATATGCATAAAATGTTAAATACTCATCTTTATGCCTTCAAATCACTTTGTTATGTTTTCTAACTTTAAGTTAACTTTATGGAATCATTATGATAACAGAGCATTGAAGCTAATAATCACCAGTTACACTATATTATCACCCAGTAATTATAGGCCTATTAGTATTACTATTACTATTAGTTTTACATAAGTTGTGGTAAAAAGTTTAGAAATTCTGATAAAAGATGCTTTAAGTCGTTTAACAAAATTTAGGATTTTATTGGATAGTCAACATGTTTTCGCTAAGGGAAACTCTTGCCTTAAAAATCTTTTGGCATTCTTGGAAAAGGCTACTGCTTATGTAGATGAGGGTAACTTACCCGGAAAGGTATTGTTACGTCTCCGTTCGTTACTTAATTTTCCGTAAATTCGTTCCAACGAAACTTTAGCGACACAAGTCCTATCTTAAATAAAACTGGTTTATT